ATCGGGACACCTGGGTGACTCAGGTGTCTGACTTCAGCTCAGGTCATGATCTCATGGTTCTTGAGTTCAAGCCCCACATTGGGCTGTCTGGTGTCAGCATGGAGCCTGCTTTGGATCCTCTGCCCCTCCCCAACTCATGCTCTCAAAAAATAAACATTAAAAAAAGTACAATAAATGTTTATTTTATTTTTGAGCGTGCATGCGTGAGAGGGAGTAAGAGGGAGAGAGAATCCCAAGCAGGCTCGGTCAGCACAGAGCCCTACTTGGGCCTTGATCTCCACAACCGCAGATCATGACCTGATGAGCCGAAATCAGGAGTCAGTCGTTCAACCGACTGAGCCACCCAGGCACCCTAAAGCACCCTAAAAATTTTTTAAAGGCTTACTCTTGGGAGACATTTTCACATAGATTAATGTTTTGTTGTTAAAGGTATGGTGGAGCTAGTTCCTGCTTCAGATACCCTCAGGAAAATCCAAGTGGAATATGGTGTGACTGGATCCTTTAAAGATAAACCACTTGCAGAGTGGCTGAGGAAATACAATCCTTCTGAAGAGGAATATGAAAAGGTGATTAGCATGTCTCCTTATTCCAGATAACTTTGTCAAAAATGTATTACATAGGTCATAAGTGCTTTCATTTTCCAGCTCTGGTGATTAGACATTTAGTTTAAGTTGTAAAAACAGCCGTCTTTCTCTAATTAAAAATATATATGTAGGGGCGCCTGGGTGGCGCAGTCGGTTAAGCGCCCGACTTCAGCCAGGTCACGATCTCGCGGTCCGTGAGTTTGAGCCCCGCGTCGGGCTCTGGGCTGATGGCTCAGAGCCTGGAGCCTGTTTCCGATTCTGTGTCTCCCTCTCTCTCTGCCCCTCCCCCGTTCATGCTCTGTCTCTCTCTGTCCCAAAAATAAATAAAAAAAAACGTTGAAAAAAAAAATTTAAAAAAAAAAATATATGTATAAAAACAGTATATTTAATGGCAGGAGTCTGAGTGAAACCAATGCTAAATTACCCTCCAAACATTCCAAACATGCTTTTAGAGGCCAGCAAAACAGAGGTATTTTTATAATGCGGAATGTTATATTTCACAAAGATCTTGGAAAAGTTATGGAAATGAGGAAGAGTGGCTGTATTGTGTGGTAGTTGAGAGCAAGATTATGGGCTAGACTCTCTGAGCTTGACTTAGGTCCCAGGTTCCTCACTAGCTATTGAGCCTTGGGCAAATTATTAACCTCTTTTGTGCCTCAGTGACCTGTGGTATAAAATAGGATATATTATGGTATTATAGTACTTTTTATGGCTGTAAAAAATAATAGTACTATAAGGTTATTATGAGAATTAAGCGAGTTTATATGGAAAGCCCTACATTGAGTAAATTCTGTAGTTGATAGTTATTAGAGGTGTCATTTTTTTCTTTTGGCACACTTTTGAATGCTATGATAGGAAAGGAAAATCTCTTAAGAGTTAAAAACTTTTAATGATCCTAAATTGGCCTAAGAAAGACTCAAGAATACTTTTTTTTTTCCTTTCTAAAAACACTTTCAATGGCAATATAAGGAGATCTGTTTTAATATCATTTGCCAACCTACTTTGTCATTAATGTATCATATTTAAAGATATGTACAAATGCTGTCTGTTGAGAAATTTTAATTTTGTAGAGGAATTTTGTCCTTTGTTGGTCTTTTAAACTGTTTAAGATCAACCCCTTTTCTTTGTTGTGGTATTGAGGAAACAGTGCAGCAAAAGCCAATACTTGTTTATAGTAATGTTGGCTCTTTTGTGGTTCCGGGGAAAGTGGTTTGACACAAAATAATTGTCAAGTAAAATACATTGTGTACTTTTTATGCATTTAACTTTTAATATCCTTTACTAAGAATATAACATAGTGGAGTCACATTGCTTGGGTTTGAATCTTGGATCTGCCACTTAATAACAATTAGGTGGTTCTGGGAAAATAATTACTCTGTTTCAGTTTCCCTCATATGTAAAATAGCAATCATAATGGTACCTTTGTCATATACTGTGTATGTAGAAAGAAAATAGTATAGTGCCTAGTTTGTGATAAGTGCTATTTAAACATTTGGTCTTATCATCATCAGTAATAATTTCTGGGGAATAATCACATGGACATATAGAGCCTTATGACTGCTCCATTCAGAAATGTACTATTTTGAGGGGCATCGGACTTTTGATCTCAGCTCAGGTCTTGATTTCAGGGTTGTGAGTTCAAGCTCCACACTAGGTGTGAAGCCTACTTAAAAAACAAACAAAAATGAAATGTAGTGTCTTGAGAATATACTAAATGCATATGCTTTGGACAAAAATACTTATTATATACATCTTGCTCTATCGTTCTATATGATGTGTTAATAACTTAATCCCCAGGACAAGCAAGACTAAAGTGAAAGATTTCCATCTTTGAGAAACTTGCAGATGTTACATAAGGAGTCAACAAAACACATTAGTTATATTATTGTATGTTTAAAGATAGCAGGTGACTTTCTTTATACATGCCTTCCCTATAAGCCAAAAAAGGGGAAATACTCTTTTATAATCCTTTATCACAGTGTTACCACTTGTGCTAAGTAGCAGAGGCTGTGAGGAGCAGAGGTCCACAACGATGATTCTTAGAAGATGTTCAAAGGCAGCACATACCCTCAGTAGGGACTGGCAGGATCTCTGCCTTTTAAAAGACAAAAGTTAGAGAGATAGGGGCAATAACCATCTTTAGAAGGTGTTTTTTTCGAAATAGGGAAAGGCTGACTTTTGTTACCATAACCTAGTTTATAAGCTATTAAGAAAATGGATTATGATAGTATTTTCAAAGGGTGATGAATTACTTTAATCTTTATAACCTGCCTCCTTTAAAAATTTTTTTTTCCTAAAATAATTTTATATCTTTATTATAGGCTTCTGAAAATTTTATCTATTCTTGTGCTGGATGCTGTGTAGCTACCTATGTTTTAGGCATCTGTGATCGACACAATGACAACATAATGCTTCGAAGCACAGGACATATGTTTCACATTGACTTTGGAAAGTTTTTGGGCCATGCACAGATGTTTGGTAGCTTCAAAAGGTACTAATATTGTTTTTGTTGCTAAAGAAGAGAGGCACTTAAATACCCCAGGGGGCGCCTAGCTGGTTCAGTTAGTTGTGCATGCAACTCTTAATCCCAGGGTCATGAGTTCAAGCCCCATGTTGGGTGTAGAGCCTACTTATAAAACAAAAAACAAAAAAACACAGTACTTCAGGTAATTCTGAAGATTTCCACATTGTGAATTGCTTTTCAAAAGGTATTAATAAAATTATCTGTATCCATCATATCTGCAAGAGTTTCTGTAGTAATTTTTACTTGAAGGAAAAAGAAATTGACCTTTCTTACCATGTGAGTGTTAAGTTTTTGATGATTTTAACATCAACTGTTTTACAATCTAAGCATTCCTCCTCCACTTTTTTCTTCCCAAGAAAGCTGAAGCTGTTGGTTTGCTTTCTTCAGATTTATTCAAGAGATCGTTGATTTTGAGTGAATTCATTTCAAGTAATGCTAAAGATATTTTCATTTTGGGGGCACCTGGGTGGCTCAGTTGGTTAAGCGTCCGACTTCGGCTCAGGTCACGATCTAGGGGTCTGTGAGTTTGAGCCCCGCGTCAGGCTCTGTGCTGATAGCTCAGAGCCTGGAGCCTGCTTTGGATTCTGTGCACTCCTGCTCCCGTCCCTCCCCCCTCCCCATCTCTTCCTCTCCCCTGCTTGTGCTCTGTCTCCGTCTCTCAAAAATAAATAAATGTTAAATAAAAGATATTTTTGTTTTGACAGTATTAGAATTTTATGTAAGATATCTTTGTGTATTTTGATGAACCTTTATTTTGACACATTTAGCCATAACATTGATTTTAATTAGTGGACACAACTTATTTTAAAAGAGAGGCACTTTTTATTTCACAAATTAATGTCCCAAACATTAACTGCCTCTTTTCTTGCTGTTCTTTGCCTTGTAGCTCCCACTGAGCATGACTGGGGATGAAAAAGACCCTAAGAGATGACTTTACCATTGTAGTACACGAGGATGAGTGTGTGTGTGTGGTAACCTTTGCTGAAATGAATTAAGGTGTATTTTATCTAGTTAGTGGTACCTGTAAAAAATGCTCCCATTTGTATAACGGCAATGAGTGCAAAATTTTTGTCTGTATATTTGTAGCTACTATTTGATCACTATTTGAGTGTGTGGATTTATAAATATCATCTTGGAAAAAATTCATATATTCTAAGTAATGAGATTGATTATATGAAGGCTTTCCTGCAAATACAAATTTATAAGTTTTAATGCAGATTCAACACTGCCCAGTACTAAGTTTCCCAGATGGAAATTGCTATGGCTCAGATAGCTTCGTTCAATAACCATGTGATAACAATAGCACTATTTGAATATCTTCTATAAATAATACTTTGTGTGTATTTTCTTTTTAAATAGGGATCGGGCTCCTTTTGTGCTGACTTCTGATATGGCATATGTCATCAATGGGGGTGAAAAGCCCACCATTCGTTTCCAGTTGTTTGTGGACCTCTGCTGCCAGGCCTACAACTTAATAAGAAAGCAAACAAACCTCTTTCTTAATCTCCTTTCTCTGGTAACTCTGTTCTTTTATAAGCCTTTAATTAATTTACATTACTGCTTTGTGTTTCAGTATCTAAAGAAGGATATTTTGGAATGAAATTTACTGTAGTTTCAAATGTCAGATATACTATCACCAAAATATTCAAAAATTGCTGCTCTGTAAAATATTCCAGACACCGTTTATATAAAATACAAAAAAAATAAGTCACGAGAGTGGGCTACCCTGGGAGTGAGGAGTAAAAAGTACCTGAAAAGGACCCTGAGAGGGTCATCTGGAATGCTGGAACATATTTTGTGTCTTAATCTGGGTGTGTTCAGATTTTTATACTTCTCTGGATGTTTATTAAGTTAAAAGTAAACCTCCACTATGATTATTGTGACTGAACTTGATATAAAAACAGAGGACTAGACAAAAGGTCTGTATTTTACAGCTTTTATTCCATAACCTGGCTTTGTGACATCCAACAATTGACTTCCTTGGCCTTGGTGTTTTTCATTTGTAACCGGATCACTTAGGTCCCTAAAACACTAATACGGACTCTTCAAAACTGTGATTGTTTTGTTTGCTTCAGTTCTAATTACTTGGCCAGCTTTTAAGGGATGGGTAAGGAACAGAGTTTTAAAAAATTGAACTCACAAACTCTTTTTTCCTTTCTACAGATGATTCCTTCAGGGTTACCTGAACTTACAAGTATTCAAGACTTGAAATATGTTAGAGATGCACTTCAACCCCAAACTACAGATGCAGAAGCTACAATTTTCTTCACTAGGTAAGGCATATTTAAATATTTTAGAGAAGGGACATAGCTTTGATTTGTTTTCCTTAAACAAATGCTATATATCAAAATTCTGATTTTTCAGGAAGGAATTGTGAGTCACAGTATTAGCAAATAGTAGTCTTATCAGAAGTATATTTTATGTCAGAAGTTTGTTTACTGAATAAATGTAAAGGATTTGCAATAACCATTTTAAAAATAAATTTCTCTCAAAATAGCTGGTTTTATTTAGTATATGACTTCAATTATAAACATCCTGTGTATGAACTATTTCTGCAAGACGTATTTTCTATAATACCAAATACAAGGTTTTTTGGGTTTTTTCCTAAAATAATATCTGTGTTAATCTGTTTTTCAGGATTCTGCCATGACAATTTTTGTGGATACTATAAATGCTTAAAACAGTGAACTCTGGGACACTGCTATAGTAAATTGTTAATGTATGACATGGTACTTAAAACACGTATACCAATTATTGGCATTTGAACTTGTTATTTTTGCTTTAAAAGCAGATATTCCTGGCAAATTGGTCACCTCATTATTGTGGTATAATGATACCACCTCATTATTATGCCATAGCAGGGAGGGACACATGAGCTTATGTTCTTTTCTCCTTTTTCTCTTGCCTTCTTCCTCTCAGTGGAGAAGAGATAGAAAACTGGACTGGACTTCCGTAGTCTCAAGAGTCTGGCCTGAATTGAATTGAAGGAAGCTGACTTTTGTATAGCCTTCCAAACTAATCCTGATAATTTAGGTATTGATGGGTTTTGCTTTGTTTTTTTAAAGAGATTTGTTGCCTCTCCTGGCAAAACTATAAAGCAGGCATGTATCAGTCTGCTTGAGCTGCCATAACAAAATACCATAGACGGCATGGCTTAAAAAACAGACGTTTATTTTCTCTTAGTTCTGGAAGCTGGAAAGTCTAAAATCAAGGTGCCAGCTGATTCACTTCCTGGTGAAGGCTCTAGGTTATAGACCATTGCCTTCTTGAGGTTTTCTCACATGAAAGAAGGAGATATAGAACAAGAAAGCATAAGCTTTCTTGTGTGTTCTTATAGGAATTTTTATCCTTATCCTTGTGACCTCTTCTAATCTTACTAACTCCATAAAGGCCATATGGGGTTGGGGTTCAATGTATGAATTTTGGAGGATACAAATATTCAGTCCATAGCCAGGCAAGAACCTTTGTGTGAGGTTCTTGACTTTTCTTTTTGAATCTCTTTCCTCTTTCTGGATTCCTTTATGCTGTTTCTGAGACTTCTTGTTTCTTTTTGCATGCCTAAAATGTTTTACTCAAACCTGCCTTCCAGATTTATTCCCACCAAACTCCATATCCTGTCAAAACTTCTTTTTCCAACTAAGGGAAATTATGATTATCTGAAGAAGGAATCTGATTCCAGATGCTACTACTATTTGATAGAAGAGAGTTTATTAAATTTGAATTATTTTCCGATGCTTCCTTCTATACCTGTTTAGTTGCTACCTTCCCTGTTTATTAAAAGGGAATTAAAGGGGTGCCTGGGTGGCTCAGTTGTAAACTGTCCAACTGTGACTCTTGGTTTCAGCTCAGGTCATGATCTCAGTTTATGAGTTCAAGGCCCGCTTGAACTCTCTCTCTCTCTCAAAATAAATAAAAGGGGGGATTAAATAATTATTTTTTTGGCATTGTACCAATTATCTTCTATAATTGGGGGTATCGGACCCCACAGAGCTCAAGAAATGAAAGCATTGTTTCTTGGAGACAATGGGATGGGATGGAATGGAGACTTTCTTGTGCTAAAATGTTTTGTTGGGATGGAATATCTTTTAATGGGTTTTTGGCCTGAAGAACAAAGGAAACCCTTTACAAAGTGAGGATCTGCTTAATATTTTAAAAGGAATGAAAATGGGGTGCCTGACTGGCTCAGTTAGTAGAGCATGTGACTCTTGATGATCAGGGTCATGAGTTCAGGCTCCATGTATATATATATACATACACACACACGGAGACACAGAGGTAGGTAGGTAGGTAGGTGGGTAGATAAAAATTTAAGGGGCACCCAGCTGGCTCATTCAGTAGAGTGTGTGACTCTTGATCTCGGGGTTGTGAGTTCACGCCTCACATTGGGTGTAGAGATTAAAAATGAAATCTTAAAACACTTTTTTAAATAAGGAATGAAAATATTTTTCATCTTTTATTATGTTAAAAGAACTGAACATGTTTTCTCATGAACATTTACTATTAATGTATTTTCTGATTGTTTTGTAGGCTTATTGAATCAAGTTTGGGAAGCATTGCCACAAAGTTTAACTTCTTCATTCACAATCTTGCTCAGTTGCGTTTTTCTGGTCTTCCTTCCAATGATGAGCCCATCCTTTCATTTTCACCCAAAACATACTCATTTAGACAAGATGGTCGAATCAAGGAAGTCTCTGTTTTCACTTACCATAAGAAATACAACCCGGATAAACATTATGTAAGTTTGTTTTTGGTATTTGTAGAGACTCATGCATGCATTACTGTTGTCCTTTCCTGGTTCCTTCACTGACTCTGCTAAAGTTCCTAACACTTGCTCTTCTCATACTTCTTTCTTTTTGGATGGTCCAAAATAAATACATAGAGGAATCCCTTATTTTTTTTTGGTATTTATTTCTTGGTAAATTTGCTCCCAAACCATGGGAGAAATGTTACTCTTCCTTTCAGAGACCAGACTAAAAGGATGGTGCTATTTTGCTTTTTCTCCTTCCTTGAATTTGTTCTTAATTTTAAGGTAAAGCTTGCTCATGGTAACAAATTCATCCTATTTATAAGCATATGAAGTTTTTAGTTCTCATTCCACTAAGGATGAAGTATTATAAAACACACACACACACATAAAGTTCATCTTTGAACAAAAACATCATCTTTAGTATGCTTCCCCTTGTCCCCCAAAAGGATAGCATGATCATCTGTTTTATTATTTTTCACCCTTGTGCTAATACTTTTGCTGGGAAATACTTTGCAGCACAGTCTTTAAATTGTTGATAAAGTGGTATTTTATAAAGCAATTTTATTATTTTAATTTTCACCTATTAGTAAATTTTTGTAAGTTTATTTAGTGTTTTATCCTAACACCACTTTACTGAGTAGTCCATTCTTTCCCTCAATGATTTATGACATTAATATATCATAATGTAGAATATTATAATGGTAGTATATTTTAAGTGTAATGGATATACATATATTCATTCCTGAATTTATTTCTGGTCTTCTGTAAATATATGACTTATTTCTATAACAGTATTGTATTCTGTAAAGTACTGTGACTTTACCATAGTTTAAATATCCAGTAAGACAAGTTTTCCCTGATCCTCCTGCCACCATAAATTTTGCTTTTCTCATTTACTCTTTTATTTTTTTTTTTTTAAATTTTTTT